CACAAATAAGGAACAGTTATATTGACCATATATGGAAATAGTTTTATGGGGCCCCCAGGAACTTTGGGCCCTAGGCTACTGCCTAGTTTTCTGCTCCTTACTACAAGATATAATCATGGGTGAACTTCTTTGGCTCTAATATAACTGATCAATTTAATACTTATCTCCTCATATCCTAAGTAATTTTTATGGGCTATATTTTAATCTGATAATAAAGAACTTTTTCATCCTGAACTTCCTGAGGATAACTCATCTGTTATTGATGAGACTTCTCACCTCCACATCAGACCAGCAGGGCAAACAGAGGCTGATGCAGGATCCGGGGAAGGAGCCGGAACTGCTGCGTCAACAACCAACACACCTGACTTCCTGATTACAAAATAAAGGTCCACATTGTTTTTATATGGAACCTGTTGCAAAAGTACAACTCAAAGTATCATTAAAATCATAATATTAAAGACAAAAATATGAGTTAAAAAAACTCACACACTCATATAACAGTTGGATTTTAAACTGCAACAAAATTATTTCTGAGAAAGAAAATACTTAGGAAGGGAATAGAATAGAATAGAATAGAATAGAATAGAATAGAATAGAATAGAATAGAATAGAATAGAATAGAAAATCCCTTTATTGTCCCACAATGGGGAAATGGTGGTGTTACAGCAGCTAAAGGTTATAGCAGAAGTGGTCACACAATGTGGACCTTAGAAAAATGTATAAAAATAACAGATAAAAAAGTAGTACTACTAGTACTGTAGTGTTTTTTATCATATAAATACTCTATATCTTCAGAGTAAATAATCAGTAAACAGCTGTGGACATACTTGTAGTAATGGATATATGAAAAATAGCAGCAACATCACAGATGTGCAAAAAAAAATAAAAAAAAATACATCAGCGTGTTATTAGCCTCAGAAAGAAACTACAAAAATCAGCATGAATGTAAAACCTATTGAGGTTATTGGGAACAGTGGTGGTTCTAGAGTCTTCCAGCTGCTGGGAGGAAGGATCTGTGATAACGCACCCTGGTGCATTTAGGGTGCAGCAGTCAGTTACTGAAGGAGCTGTCCAGTTCAATTATGGATATTTTTTTCCAATTATATGTGTTAGTCCTCTAGAGATAATCAAGGCTTAACGCCGACCTTTTGGTTTTAACAGCCATTTATTGTAGACACGTCTTATAAAGCGCCCAAAAATGCCGTCAGAACTAAGAAGGGAAACAGAAACCCAAATTAGCTCAAACAAATATAAAGGTTTACACAAATAAATCCAAATAAAACAAAGTCGTACCTCATTGGCCGCATAAACTCCAGAGGAATAAAGATAACTTATACAGCTTTTCTCAGAAAACCAAAAGATCACCTTAAAGATTTCTGGTGAAACTTCTTGAAAAGATAGGCGCAAAAAAAAAAAAAAAGAATTGTGTCAATCAATCTTTCCCATGGACAAGAACCTGACATGCGGAACAAAAAAAAAACATAGTTTCCTCCTTACATTTTAATGAGCTTTTTAACCAACGTACATAAACATAAATTAAATAAAAGTTATTTATTTATGATTTAACCTTTAATTTCAATACTAGTATGTCTTGTTTTTAACTAAATATTAAAAATATTTAAATGAGTTGACTCTGATGGCAGCTACAATATGTTTAAAGAGGTGTTTTTTCTGCTAAATGTAGTTACAGGGTACGACAAGGGCTTTGTTAAAATTCCAGGAACACTATAAAATTATTATGATCTTAAGATTGTATTTATTTAGGCAACTAAAACAACTTCTGGATTTTACAAATGTACTTAATGAAACCAAAAAGACTGTGTAATAGTGATCATCAGTAAAAAAAAAAAAACACGAATCAATTAGAAAAACCGTAACTCATAGAACAGACCAACAGTTGGTCTATTCTGTGAGTTACGGTTTTTCTAATTGATTTGGTTTGACATCCCTGGTTTAGTTGGTGACCAACTAAACCAGGGATGTCAAACCGGTTCCAGAAAGGGCCGTGTGGCTGCAGGTTTTCTTTCCTACCAAGCAATAGCACACCAGACTCCATTCATC